TTTTTTTTTTTTTGCTAAAATGTCTGAATAAAATTAAATTCTGAATTACCCTAATATACTCATATAACAATATATACAGGTGTTCAATAAGTAAGGAAACAGGTCAATTGTTAAAAACAATGAGAACAATAAAAATGATTTCCTTACTTACTGAACACACAAATATATATACACATTAATTATTACCTTGATTTCTTCAATTGGAGTAGTTTGGGGAATTTCGCGTAATATTACAATACACCGTTTATGATTGGGTCGAACTTTTAATCCTTCATCATCAACTTGAACATTTGGAGATTCTTGAATGTAAATAAAATAAAAAATTATTTATTATATAATATTTTAAGTAATATTTTACCTCTTAAAACTTCAGTTATAAGTTTTATGTCTTTTGTTAATTTCTTAACTTGGTTAAAATTAGCAACTGTCCAAATGGGTACATATTGATCATTGTCCATTTGAGATAACAAGTATGCATCATTAGCCAAATTTTCTCTGTAATTAATATTTCAAATTATTATATTAATAATCAAAAAAAAAAAATTTTTATCAAGGAGAAATTATTAAAAAATTTAAATATTTTTGAATTTTGAAAGGAGTTTTTTGGTGATCATAAATCATTTTTCATTAAAAAACCATTTATAAAATGTGTCAATCTTAAAAAAGAAATACTAGTCTATTTAATCGTGTAATATTTTGCTAAAATATGTTATGAATAGAGAGCAGATTTATATGCACTTAAAAATTTTGTTGGAGTCATTTTTAAAGGATTTATGTTTGTATAAATTTGTTGTTGGAAATACAGTAGCACAGAAATATTTTAGGTTTTAAGAGGAATTTACCCCTTTATACTCCCAAAAATATAATCCCAGTTAGATCATATCATATTACTAAGTTTTCATGCCTATCAATGCAAATGTAAACAGATTATGTGTTAGAGGCAACTTAAAACATTAAAAAAACACATAAATCTGCTCTCTGGGTACAAATAAAAGACAGAATGATCTAAACCTGATAAGACAGCTATTTTATCAAAAACTGATAAAAACTTCTTGGTTAAAAATATCTCTATTTTTAAATTGATAATATGTTTATTATAATGTACTAAAAATAGGGGTTCATATTGAAGAAAATTAAATATAAGGTGTTTTGACACTGAAATATTACCCACTCCCACGAGTAATTTTTTAATAAAAAATAATAATAATAAACAAATGTATATTTAATTTTTTTTCCTTTATAAGGATTTCAAGAAGTGGAATCTATGAACATTTTTGATATTAATTTTTAAAGATAAATTTAAAGTTTGGGCTAATAATAATTTAATGAGAACTAATATATTGATACTATTTGTGTCAACAATTATAATTTATTTAAATTTCAAATCAGAGCTTTGTAAAAATATTTATATATTTTTAAATTTGATAAATTGTATTCAAAATAAATTATTTATGAGAAGTAATATAGTAAATACTATTGTTATTTGAGGCTTTTAGTACAATAGTGATGTTATTCATTTTTTAAAAAATTGACATTAAACATTAAAGAATACTGTGTATGAATGGACATTTAATATTTTAACCTTTAAAATTGTAAACTTAATGTTTCAAAAATTCTGTATTTAATTGTTTTAGTTAGTTATAATTAATTACGCTAAGGTTTAAGTCAAGTTTCAAAAAATAGATTATATCAGTCTATTTACTTCATTAGAGAATTGTCAATAGTAACTGAGTGATCCATGAATATTTATGTGCTTATAAAATCATCATACGAGAGTATATTAATAATGGGTACTTATTACTAGAGCATCAATAATTTTTTTGAAAAATGTCAATATTATAACAAATACTGTTATGAGTTGATCATCAAGTATAAAGTTGGTTATTTCAAACCAAATCCAACAAAATAAGTATGTGACACGGGAAGCTATCTTATCTGAAATTGCTACTGTAGCTAATAAATAAATAAAAAAAAAAAAAAAAAAGAAAAGGGGGTTAAGTTAAGGGGGTAAAGATAAAGCCTTGGCTGGCGCTGACACAGTTACCTCGCTAATATATTTTAAATATTATTTCAATACATCTTTTACTATCCTTTANTTAGTAGTTCATTTCAACAAGTCGAAGATATCATACATTTATGATTGAGATGTTTTTAAAAGTTAAGAATCTTATGTGAAAACTAAAAGTTATGAGTTAACATCATGAGAGTCTATCTTGTACAACACGTTAAGTCTTTAAAAATATATAAAGCCATAATTTTACAAAATTGTATAAAAAAAACCCAGCACAGGGGGGTCGCAGCACTGTGGTGATGTGGCATAGATGGATCAAGTGTAATGATATCTGACAGTGATTATAATCACTATCATAAAAAACTCTTCAATGCAAATCTTTTGATAGTGTTTAATTTAAAAAAATTGGTGTATTATTCCAAAAGCTACATGATCTGCTAATTCCTTATTAATATCCTGATTAAGATAAAGTATGTCAAATGAAAAAAAGATTATTAAAAAATATTATTCCTCATAAAAAAATTGTATTGATCCATACATTTTTTAAAAAGTTATAGCCTTTTAAAGTAAAAAATGTAAAACATAAAATCGAGAAATTTCACACAAAAATAGCATTTGGTAGCCATTTTTACTATGAAGACAAGTCCAGAAGTCAAATTTTTTTTTTTTTTCATAATAAAGTACATTACATTAGCTTTATTTTAAGATATATATAAAAGTGTCAAACCTTCCAGAACATTTTCAAAAGTTAATTTTTTGTAAAAAAGTTGTCATTTTAAATCCCCCCCTGTGGGCAGGTTAAGTGTCAGATTTACAAAAAATATATACCAAATGATAGATAAAGACATCAAGCATCTATAAAAAAAAAAAAAAATGATATTGATATTTCCATTTTTAAAAAAGTTACGGCAGTTTTTAGTAAAAAAAATTGAAAAAATTAACGATTTATAAATTTGTAATTTTTTTGGAGGTTTCCCCCATTTACGGGGAATTTTTTTCAATTTTTAAGGGTAATATCTTCAACTAGATACGATTTGTGATCTCTTGACGTATCATTGAAAGAAATCGGTTCGGTGAGAGCTAAGAAAAAATGGTGACAGACAAAAAAAAATAGACACATCTTAGTAAAACCAATAACGTCTTAGCTTCGCATCATAGCTAAAAGTTGACAACAACTAAGTTAATAATTTGATAAAGGAACACATTTTACTAATCATAAAACCATTTTTCAATAATTAAAATAATACTTTTTTATGTAATAATTTATCTCAATAATTACCTGGAAAAATAATATTCTAACTGATTTGAGAGGAGCTGCTTAAGTTGCTCAACAGACTGAGACGGCATAGTCTCAGTAGAAGTTTCTGCATTCACCATATTGCTGTTATTTCCCACTATTACAGTTGAATTATTTCTATTTTCTGTGGATAAAACTTCATAACTCCCGTTTAAGGAACTATAAATAAGAAAAGAATGAGAGATATTTATTAAATATTTTGGTATGGTTACTTAGTATTAATAAATTAAATACTTTGAAAGTATTAAATTATATTATAACACAAATCTAATAAAAAATAATTCTTTAATATCAATTAACAAAGAAATAAAAAATTATTTCTATGATAAATAGACATTCTATTTTTTTATAAAAAATAAAATATGAAAAAAAAACATAAATTTTTTTTATAGATAATTTATCATTTAAATATATAGTAGTTATAAAAATACTTTAAAAAAAACATAAAATTATTGGTTACAAATGTCTCAGTTGGTAGTGCATGTAATTAAAAAATCACCAAGAAATCATATTGTGGTGAAAATTTCATCATTAACTTTATTGTAACAAAATAAAATTATTTTATAACCTCAAACCTAATTATATGTAACAAGAAAAGAACAAAACAAATTCATGAACACTATTTTTTTTAACATGAATTAGCAGTTGTTAAGGAAACATAATATTATTTGTTACAAATGTTTCAGTTGGTAGTGCATGTAATTAAAAAATCATCAAGAAATCATATTGTGGTGAAAATTTCATCATTAACTTTATTGTAACAAAATAAAATTATTTTATAACCTCAAACCTATTTTATGTAACAAGAAAAGAACAAAACAAATTCATGAACACTATTTTTTTTAACATGAATTAGCAGTTGTTAAGGAAACATAATATTATTTGTTACAAATGTTTCAGTTGGTAGTGCATGTAATTAAAAAATCATCAAGAAATCATATTGTGGTGAAAATTTCATCATTAACTTTATTGTAACAAAATAAAATTATTTTATAACCTCAAACCTATTTTATGTAACAAGAAAAGAACAAAACAAATTCATGAACACTATTTTTTTTAACATGAATTAGCAGTTGTTAAGGAAACATATTATTATTTGTTACAAATGTTTCAGTTGGTAGTGCATGTAATTAAAAAATCACCAAGAAATCATATTGTGGTGAAAATTTCATCATTAACTTTATTGTAACAAAATAAAATTATTTTATAACCTCAAACCTATTATATGTAACAAGAAAAGAACAAAACAAATTCATGAACACTATTTTTTTTAACATGAATTAGCAGTTGTTAAGGAAACATATTATTATTTGTTACAAATGTTTCAGTTGGTAGTGCATGTAATTAAAAAATCACCAAGAAATCATATTGTGGTGAAAATTTCATCATTAACTTTATTGTAACAAAATAAAATTATTTTATAACCTCAAACCTATTTTATGTAACAAGAAAAGAACAAAACAAATTCATGAACACTATTTTTTTTAACATGAATTAGCAGTTGTTAAGGAAACATAATATTATTTGTTACAAATGTTTCAGTTGGTAGTGCATGTAATTAAAAAATCACCAAGAAATCATATTGTGGTGAAAATTTCATCATTAACTTTATTGTAACAAAATAAAATTATTTTATAACCTCAAACCTATTTTATGTAACAAGAAAAGAACAAAACAAATTCATGAACACTATTTTTTTTATCATCAATTTACAGGTTTTCATGAATATATCTTCCATATGAAAATATCAATCCTATAATTTGAAGTATATATTCTAAAATGATTCAAAGCCACAATTTTATTTTATTGATATTTACGTTTGATTTGTTAATTATATTGTTAAGTATTGTAGAGAAGTTTAAGGTTTTCATTTTAAACTAATATTGAAGAATATTAAAGGATGAATATTACAAATACTAGATCATTTATAAAAATCGAGAAAAAAATGTACTTAAAGAAACCAAAAGAATAATAATAATCTCAATATATATTTATTTTATGATTAATTAAGTGGTTCATAATGAATTAGTTATCATGGAAATTTAAATCTAAAAATGATTTAAATTACTATTATTAAATGTTTTTATGTTATAGTGCTTGCAGAAAGACCACTATTCTAATCTACAAATTGGATGATTATATTTTCAGAAAGCATTGAAATTTACTATAGGTTATCTGTGGCTTATATAAATTTTTTTGGTAGGGGAACCGCTCCCCTTAATATTTTAATATAAAAAATGGTCGTACCCTTATTTATAAAAATATTATATTAGGTTTTACATTTGGACTTTAAGTATATGCATTAATAATTAAACAAAATAATTTCCATAAAATTCCAAACAATAATATAATAAAAATACTAAAATTTTTTTTTTTTTTCACAAAAATTCTATATTGATTAACTATGGCAAATATTAACATATGAAGTATATACAGGGTGTTCAGTAAGTCAGGAAACGGGTTTCTATTGTTCTCATTGTTACAAACAATGAGAACAATAGAAACCCGTTTCCTGACTTACTGAACACCCTGTATANATGAGAACAATAGAAACCCGTTTCCTGACTTCCTGAACACCCTGTATAATGGGTCAAATGTATTTTATTTTTTTAATTATAGCATTCTACCTAAACTTTAATTGTAAATGCATTAAAAAAAAATTACCATAATATTTTCCTAAGTATAATAGAAAGTGGTCAAATTTCCAAAAAAAGTATGCCAAGAAATTTTTTTTTTTGATTCAATGTAAATTAAAATATGATATATAAACTCAAAAATACATGTTTTTTATTACAGGGCTATGTAATTTGTGATATTTTAACAAAGTGTTAAGCAAAATCTGTAATGTAGAGATCAGTGACAATAGGAGAAGGATGTGATTGAAGAGGTGGTAAGTTTTAAGTATTTAGGGTCAGTTGTGCAAAAGAGCGGTGGGTTTGAGGAGGATGTAAGACACAGGATGAAGTGCCGGTGATTGAAGTGGTGAGACGCGTTTGGTGTGTTTTGCGATAAAAGAATTCCAATGAGGCTGAAAGGTAAGTTCTATAAGGCTGTAACGGGACAAGCTATGATGTATGTTTTAGAGTGCTGGGCAGTTGACAAGAAAGTATAGCAGACATGAGAATGCTTAGATAGATGAGTGGAGAGACTAGAGAAGATAGAAGGAACAAACATATAAGTGGGAATTTAGGTGCAATAAAATTAATGTTGAAGGAAGAAGAAGTAGATGAATAACAAAAAAGAGATGGAGGTTGTTATTAAATGCCATATAAGGATGGCTGATCTGGGAGATTGTGTCAAGTGGAATTTTAAATTCCAAGTAATTGGAATTAAGACGAGGAAGAAGAATACAATTTTTTTATCCAATAGACTGTTCATTTGTTACAAGCATTTTATCACATAAAGTGGATATATAGCGCAAGTAGATGATACACACACTATGACATGTTGTACTGTGTACAATGTACCCATTCATGTACCACATAGCCACTTTATGTATTAAAATGCTTGTAACATAAATTATTTGCCATGCCATTAATTATTGAACTAATACACAAAAGAAACCTACTTAAAAGAAATCCAAAAATATTATTCATTATATTTTCCTTAAGAAAAATAACTTTTGGGGCTCCAATATCACACCAAAAGATGTCTGATACTGGAACCTAAGATAGTAAAAATACAAGATCTATGTAGTGTGGCACGAGTCTTAATTATATACTACATTAATTTTATTCTGCAAAAATAATTATATTTCTGTAAAATATGTATTTTATTACACTTTTCAAATAATGTAGATAATAATTTTTTTTTAAAACTGTAACACATTCAAATTGTAATAGATTAATAAAAAACATTTTTAATTTGAATGTGTTTTATAATTTAGCAACGCTTCGACACCATAGTGAATAAAAATTATACTACTAGGTTCTAATAACGTGCAATATTAATTTTTTCTAACAGTAACTTGTAGAAGAAGTAAATACAGATATTGTGGTTAATAGTTTAAAATTTGAAATAAAACAAAGTTAATTTTAGTTTAACATAATAATAATTGTATTTATAGTTATGATGGCCTTTAATTATCAATTTTTTTTATTATTATAGTCATTATCTTTAACATGATTATAATAGCATTATTTGTACATTTAAAATATACAATATATTTTGAATAACTAGTTTATTGTATTCCTTAGGTAAATGATGTTAATGATGAATAACATGTAATTTTTTTTTCGGATTTGTAACACTTTTAAACTTAGTTTTCAACAAATTATAAAGATAACGTAGTACATAAAGAGTAAAATCTTTGTTACCTGAATGCAATGAAGGAATGTAGACATAATTAAATATATAAAAAAACAACCAAGCGACGAACGTATTTAATAGGATATCATTTGTGCATTTTCATTAGATAATTCATACAAATTAAACACAAATGCATGCTACAGAATTTTCATGTCTAATCTACAGGTTTAAGTTAACTATAACATCATTTATAATTAATAAAAAAATATATACAGAAATAGCTACAGGTATTTAAGATTTTACTATAAATAGAAATGGAATAATTATATAAATAATGTTACCCTAAATGTTAAAACTAAGAAATTTTTCTTATGAAAATTGTAAAATGAATTGAAGTAAAGAATCTCATTAGAACACATATTGCTGAGCTCTTGTAATATTGATATTTTTCAAATCAATTTTAAAGTAAAACAATGATAAATAGTATATAAACTAATTACAAACACAATTTTGGTGTTTAAATAATTTTTATTAAATTAAATATTAATTTCATGAACTTTTATGCATTATCAGAAAGTCATTAATTTGTATTTTCTTACTAAGAATCAGAAAACATTATAAAGATGTCATATTATTGAAAAAAATTTAACCTTACCTGTAAGTATTTGTAACAGTAGAAACAGTCAAAGGTTCAGAAGGACTAAAGAGTGTCCCAGTTGAATTTTTACTAATGTCCCCATTCATATACATATACCCTAGTAAAATACAAAAGTAAATAAATACAGGTTTAAAATAATTTAATATTTAATTCTGAGTGAAAAAATAATATGAAAATTTTTTACTCTAATACAGAAAATTCTAGACAGATCTAATTTGGAACACAATCTAAATGAACAAAACAATTGAAATTTCAACATTATGAAATGATTCTCATTTTATTTTCTATATAAAAAAAAGAACTATTGCATCATGTTAAAAGATTATTATTGTCATTAATTTTAATTTTAAAAGTTCATTCAATAAAACCTAGTCAAATAAGATTTAATGAAATATAGTTTTTAAGATATATGTTTTATTTTCTCTCAGCTAAGTATTCTTGTATTAGAGAAGAGATAACCTTTAAAGCTTGGAATGAAACCTACATCACATCTTTAACTATAAACCTAGTAAATTTAAACTAGTGATAACTCCCTAGTTTTATTATTATTAGACATAACAATTCTTTGTAACTAGGGTCCAGAATTATAGGGATTTATACATTTTGTTAATTTAATCCAAACACATTATCAGTCAATCTAGATTATTATTGACTTGATAACTTAGTAACTGAGTTTTTTTTTTTTTGAGGGGGAATTAGGGAGGTTCATCTCCCTAAAACAAAAATTTGCCTATGCTAATATGTTATACTACAATAAAGTTGTAAAAACTTAGAATCCTTCAAGATAGCTCAAACAAAATTTATAAATGCATATACTTCTGTATATTATTTATAACTCCAAACATTGAGATGCTCATTATTACCAGTTAACTAAATTTAAACTTAAAATGTAAGCCCCTTAAAAATTCTGTTATTAATCTTGGTTATATTTATTTAATTTAATTCTATAAATAAACCTTATTAAATCTTGTTATTTATCTTAAGTTTTATTTCTCAAATGTATATACAGATTTTGGATACCAAAAATTATACTCAAAGTTAAGCAGATCAGGTTTTTCTATTTTAAGAATCAATAACTTTTTGATGTCTACTTTATTTAAATAATGCAATAGTTATATATTTGTAAAAAATTTTAAGCATATAACAGTATTATCAATAGTAGTTTTATTTGGAAAAATTAAGGAAACAAATTGAAAAGAATATAACTATATAGAAAAGCAACTAACATTAACACTTACATAAAAATAAACATCAAATCAATAGATAATATGTAAATAGATTTCTTTATTAATTGGATGTAATATACAAAACAGAAATATGTAAATTTTGTTTTTTAGTGATGAAAATGAAAATTATTGAACTAACTCTTGAACTACATCATACTTACATTTTCAACTAATTGTTAGATTATTATATAAATTAAACAAAATCAATCATTAGGTACACCTTACAGTTAATAGAATATAAAAAAATTAAAGTTTAGCAAGTACATAACTTGAACTATTAGAGTTTATCATAATTTAAGCTGAAATTGAAAAATTATGCATTGCTAAGAAATATCATATAAATCAGTTAATCAAATTATATAATTCAAATTAATTTAATATATTAATCAAAGAAAATAAATTACTATTACGAAATAATACATCAAAAATTAAAACTTGTGAAAATAACCATTATATCGAAGGCATTACTATTTAAGCCAACATATTAATTACAATTTATTATTTATAAGTATTCGAAGTGTTAATCAAAACACGATTATAGATATCTCGCGACTATATTATTTTAGTGTACACACACATAGGTACATACACTTAAATATTTTTATAGGTTATCAGCGAGTTTTACTGAACTTAACCTATACTAAACGCCTATCATGATTCAACTGAATTTCAATGGCGACCAATATGCCGAACCTAGCACACACACAGCTAATTCGCAACGTTTCAACATTTTTAATACTTAATAATGATGGATGTTTACCTGTTTCTGCTTCTTTCCGTAGGAACATTAAAAATAATGATAAAAATTCTAGCGAGATCCGTTCAATTGCAAAGCACAACGCACATATCAGTATCTAGCACACGTTCAATTTAATTTCAACAAGTAAACCTGACGGAATAATTCACCAAAACAATGTGCAGAAAAGTAAATTTTAAATAGTGCTTTAATAATATTTAATAGTTTGCACATATATCATAAACGCACACTACATTAACTGGCAATTTTCCGTATTCTTCACTTGGCAAACTTAAGAAAAATATGATTCATTTGGAGAATACTAACGACTACGCGGCTACAGTAATCGTGCCCGGTTTCCCGAACTCATCACAACCGATCCGATAACGCGGTACGTAAAACGAGTAATATTAGTGTCACCCGAACGCAATGAAGGAATGTAGAAAAAATTAAATGTATAAAAAAACAACCGAGCGACCAACGTATTTAATAGGGTATCATTCGTGCATTTCCTTTAGAAAAGCCTTGCAAAATGGACGACAACACGAACACATGCCACAGAGCACCATTGCTCATGGAGAAGAAAATATTGTGATGGCGACTCACGCGACATCTGCCTTTTAATTAAGCTTCAATTAGACGTTTTTCGTGAGAATGGCCACTAATCACTTTTCGCTAATTTTTAGGAGACTCAAAAAACAACATATGTTATCAAAACTGCATACGTAAATGACAATGATATCAACTGCTTGGGTTTTTTAACAAATATAGTAATTTAACCCTTCATAATTTTTTTTCGTTAAAAGAAAGCTCTGATTTAGCCTTAATGTGGGAATAGTCAAAAGATAATTATAGCAAAATCAGAATAAATTAATGGTGTCTTTGAGAAGATAGTAAAACTAAATTTTGTTATTTTTAGAATATCTATAAATTGAATGACAATTTTCTATTAGTGGTATCATTTATTTTCTTAAATAGGTGGGTTATTTTTATATTATTTGTATTTTATAAATAACATTAACAAATATTTCGTATTTTTGGTTTCATTTTAGTTGCCATTTTTGATAGTTGCTTTCTTAAAACGCCCCATTTATTTTCAAAGCAAGCGTAATTAGAAGGCATGCGATCGTTTTACTTGCAATGTTATGACAGTAAAAATATTAAACTTATTCTTTTATCTAAGTATAAGTAAAAATTTCAAAGGATAATGATTTTCTACAAATACTTCTGCATTACAGCGATCGACATACTTGAAATAAAAATCAGAACAATCGGGTAATGAAAAATATAATACATAATAAATCGTGATTTATTATACCATGCGTTTGGCAGTCATTGTCTAGAAGATAAATCGTTAGCTAATTGTTTTTTATATTTAATATTGTCAACTTAATATTGCTTCAATGTTTTGAAAAATATTTGATCAATAAAATATTTTTGATATAAGCATCTTATAATGTATATCCATTTAATTAAACATTATTTTGGCAATATGATTTTTCTCTTATATAAGAGATTTAAAACATGCGTACAAAAAGTAGAACTTTTTCAATTCAACTATTAAAAATATTCCGGAAATCTACTTCTTTTAAACTTATTTAAAACAAAATTGATGTTAAGTTAAAAAAAATTTTGTCCCAACGACTTGTCTTCTATAATATAAAAATTTACATATTATATAAACTACCTCCAAAGTAAAACAAAAAAATACACCTGGCCTCGTTATTAAGATTAGAACTATTCGATACTGGGTTGGTAAAATTTTTTTACTAATCTCTTAATTTGTGAACATAATTTTAGGTTTTTAATGGATTCTCAGTTTGTATACACAGTTACTATCCAGAACACATCTCTAGTTATTAGTAAAAAGGTAATAAAGATATTAATTTTCATTATTTATTATATATTAAGGAAAATGTGAATTAATGTATATGGTTAAAAGAAATTTTACATACTAAGATAAATTTGAAATCAAAATGTTGGTTATGGTATATAACAGAAAACATATTAATCAATTTGAAAAAAAGAAACATAATTTTCTCTGAACACATCTGTAGCATTAATGTACATTTTAGTACTATTTATTTGTATACAATGGAAAATATATCAGTTGAAAAATAATGTATACTACTCTTATATTTAAATGTTATTAATGCATATTAAATTTAATATATAATTGAATTCTCAAAAATTTGATTTGTCTGATTATGTTATGATGTAGTATTTGAATACATATTGTAACATATTTCAATTTAAAAACCATGAACTTTGAGCTGGTCAGACTTAGCTAAGCCACATTTAGTTAACCATTGACAAATATTTTCTCTTTGATCGCCTTGCAACTGTAATACTTCTCCGTACTCAGGATGTTCAACTACTGTACCATTACATGCAAACTCCTAGAATAATTTTATTTAAATTAATTATGAATAAATAAAAAAATTAATGCTAATTATAGTAATGTAATAATTTAAACATATATAAAAGAATTTAAGAAATTATGAACTTTATATAATTACTTCTTAGTTTACACTATAAAATAGTTTAAAAAAATTAAGATACTTTAATAATATAGTATGGGATTATTTTTCATGATTTAGTACTTATTATAATGTACAGTTAAATTTAGTAGAACATGATCACCTTGTAATGTGATCAATAAATAATGAAAAATATCAATTAACACAGACAATAAGACTAATTTAAATTCATTTTTTGTTTTGTTTATTAAACACTACATATAATTGGGTGATAAATTTTTAAAGAAAAAACTATTAATTCACTAAAGTGCTGATAAAATTCTTTATAGAATACACTTAAAATTACATATTCAATGCAATTTCTATAAAAGATATAATTTTTTTAAATATGTAACATTTAATTATTTTTAATATATAATTTTTAAAGCTTATGCGTCTTATGTGATAAAAGAATTCCATTGAGGCTGAAAGGTAAAGTCTACAAGACTGTAGTGAGGCCAGCTATGATGTATAGTTCAGAGTGTTGGGCAGTTGATAAGAAAGTAGAAAAGAGAATGAGTGTAGCAGAGATGAGAATGCATAGATAGATGAGTGGAGTGACTAAAGAAGATAGGATAAGGAATGAACATATAAGAGGGAGTATAGGTGTAGCGTCAATCATGGATAAGATGAGAAAAAATGACTTAGATAGTTGGTCAAGTTATGAGGAGTGAAGAATCGGAAGCTGTAAGAACAGTTATAGAAATGAATGTTTAAGAAAGAAGAGATAGAGGAAGACCAAAAAGAGATGGAGGGATGCTATTGAATGCGATATGAGGACAGCTGATTTGAGCATAGATGATGTGGGAGATTGTGTCAAGTGAAAGTTTAGGATAAGAGTGGCTGACCCCAAGTAGTTGGGATTAAGGCGAGGAAGAAGAAGAAGATAATATTTAAAGCTTTTTTTTTAATAGTAAGATTAATCAATTAATAACAATTGGATATTTATATACACTGGGATAATGGTATCATTTATATTATTAAGTGGTAACCTGTCTAACAATTAATAATAGAAGGCAAAACTTAGTTTAGAGTTTGATAGCATTTAATGTGTATAAAATACTACTATGCTGCTTATTTAAAGTAGAGACCAAAATTAATAATTAACAATCAAATTTTAAGTTCTCAATTCCATAACATTATGTTTTTTCAAAATTCTTACACAATTAAGAAATACCAAACTAATTTAATTCAGCTTTTAAAAAAACCATATTTAATCAAAAAAGTTTTAAACTTAAGTAAAGATTTCTAGGAAACAGTTAAGAAATACAGTGTGGTTTATCAAGAATACTACCCCAAGTTTTATTGTTAAATGATTTTTTCAAAAAGATGTCCCAATAAAGTATTGATTTATAAATTAATGGTAATTATTAAGTGTAAACAAATTTTATAGATTAGTTCTTATGAGGAAAATAACTGAAAGTTATATGAGAACCTATAATATTTTTTATTATTATTGTATGGAGACTAAATTTAATAAAATTTCAAATATTTCATAACTAGTTTGTAATTAAATTACTAACAAGATATTTAAAGATTTAGACAATTTGAAGAACAGGATAATCTCTAATAAAGCTTTATTTTTATTATAACACACAGATAAGGATTTAACTACATTTCACACTCTTTTCGCTTATAGCTAAAAAATAAAACAACTCTTTCTCTATATATATAATATATATGATACATATTGTAAAATTAGTTGTGAAATATTGAAACATTTGTGTTCAGATTACCTTTTTACAAGCGCGTACTATTTTTTTTAAGTCATACTCTGAAGATAAACCTTGAACTGTTGTTAATGTTTTACGACCATTACGTTGTTGAATTCTTATGTGTACAAGCCCATCCTGGACATCATCATCAGCACCCTTGATTGCATCTGCAAACGGGTCTAAAAAATAAAATAAGAGAGTATAAAAATATAAAAAATGTTACGTAATTGCAAATATTAAGAAAATATTGAATTCAAAGTGAAATAAGGAAATCTATGGAATATTCAAATAATAATTTAGGATTTGACAATTTGAACAAATAGATATTTACTGTTCAAAAATAACTTTGTTTAAAACGATTATAACAATTGATATAATAAACACATGATTTAAAAAAAAATACAACTATATATTAAGTATTTAACCATTAAATTTTTTCAAAGAAATTGCGCCGTCACGAAGTTAATAACTAGAAATTGGAAACTTAGAATAATGCATTATCATATCAAAATTAATCTAAATTGCCATTGTAATTGTTATAATAAACTAAGACCCGTGAATTATACCCATTATACAAAACTCACCAAATACGTTGAGGTTCTGGATTGACATGCGTATGTTCGCGTTAACTCTAAGAATTGACTAGTCACTCCTATTCAAAAACTGTTAAACAATGTTTCAATATGATGCAATACGACGGCAGATTCAAAGATTTTTATAAGTAGAAATAAAATTACAAGAGAATTTATCGTTGCCTAAAGAGACAAATTGAATAAGGCTAGTAAATTATGAGTCAAAAAACATCAGAAAAATAGGATGAAAAGTAGAAGGGGAAATAAAGACGAATCAAATTCTCGTTTTGTTGTATACTCAATCTTTTATACAATTCCGTTTCGATGGTCATATAGGTAACCTGATAGAGGTTACCACTCTGTTGAAACAACTTTACAATAACCGTAGTGAGTAGGGTTATACCAAATTAAACATAGCGTCCCAAATCTCAAAACACTAGTCAAGGTGGAAAATAACTCCAATGTACATAAATTCTTATCTATACATAATTTGAAGAATTATTAATCTGATTATAATTTTAACAGCTTAAACTCTTTGACTTTTTATAGTAATCTTCAAAATATTATCAATCGATTTTTAAATTTTTTTATTATAATATATCAAGAAAATGATTAAATTATTACTATATAGACTCTCTAGGTGTTACCTATTGTGTTTTATTTATTATATATTAATACACAAGTCTTGCGTTAATCTCCAGATTACAATGAATTACAAATAAATAAAACTTTGAATTAATATAAACACGAAAATTAAATTATATTCATTGATAATAAAATACATAATATAATATAATATAATAAAATACAGGCGTATAATTTATTTATTTCTATAGAGTAAGCACATAAACTGCATCACCATGTAACATTCAAACATTGGTCACAGGGAAACACGGCTAGGGTTAGTCAAAATATTTTCATATTATCATACACAATATTGAAGAAATATTTTAATAAATCGTATAAATATTATTTTAATTAACTTTATTTTAATTACATTAACTAACCGGAACATCTTTAATATCTATACGCTATATACAATACAACATCACAACGATTATCGATCTAATGATTAATATCTATAAATATAAATTTAGCAGACATTCGTGTAGTATACACTAGTAATATAGAAAAAATTATGGCATCGACCATGTGAAGATTAGCGTTAAAACAATAAACAAAAATCCTAATTGTTATGTTTGTATCATCATGCTCAAATTACCTTCATACTCAAATGTAGTAATAAGCATGACCTGTATTATAATGTACATATAGCTGTCAAATATAGTTGACCGTCATTCCTAAGTGTACATTACATATGAATTATATTGTTATTTAATAAATTTAGTTATTTATTTGTAATGAAATGATTGCAGAACACTTACTTCTTTTTGTCTATGAAATATTAACATTTTTTTGCAGTCCTAAATCTGCATATTTATATTATTATTTAACCATGTTTCTGTTAATCTAAAATAACCTAAACGACAAAAATAAGTAAAATTATCATGCAATTAAGGTAACTTAGATTTCAATCCACATATATTTTGGTAATAACCGGATAGAACATTACTTTTGTTTATATTATTGTTATTATTTATATTTATATTATTACCTTTATTGTATTTATGCACAGATACCATTTTCTGAAATATTCCTTTTATCACGTTTTTTCTCAGCGAAGCTTAGATATCTCTGGTATAACGCTAAGTCTGTCACATCCATACGTTTTTACAATTAGGGACGTTTGACATTTCCGTTTCGATATAAGTACTAAAAATACTATTTGAGGTGAAAGTATAAGTAACTAAAGCAATAACTAACTAATAACTTTTATTGATTTATTTGGTTTATTTGAATGTTTTCTAAGGCCGTCAATAGAAGATATATAATAAGATGCAATAATATTCAATTTATTTACTAAATCATCAATTAACAAGCTATTATTTTTCGAAACATTTCATTGAAAATAATTAAATTGTTTTGATTGGAATATTTTCTTGTATTTCACGAACTATATCATTTGTGAAATAAGAAAGTGTAGCTATTTTGAAAACTCCTTTTAAGATCATTTAATTCATTTTCTTTCCTAATTAACAGAAGTTTAGTAGATAACAAATCCAATTTAGATAAAATTGTGCCTTAGTATTTTCTTGAGCCAAAAATTTAGTATTTGAACTGGATTTAAATTTAACTGACGGAGAGTCTGATATAATAAAACAAATTCCAAATCACTTGATATACTTGTATGCGTATAAACTCTACAAAAAAATTTCACGGTGTAGGGTGATACTATCAAGTGATGTCAATATATTAAGATAAGTAGGTTTATTTAGAAACTATAACCTTAAAAGTAGAATAGCAGATCAGGAATTAATAGGTTGGACAGTTTAAATAAAAGGTAAAATATGATTTTTACTCAGTTCAGTCAAAAATTGTACATGAATTAATCATAAAATTAATAGCTCAATTTTAAAAAAAAGGGATTTTCCGTAAACCTTGTCAACAAAAAGTCTTCGTCATTTTATATTTTTGAAATGGATATATTAAATTATTCTGTGTTTATTTCTTAAAAGCTGATAAGTCAATTTTTTAAAGGGAAAAACAAGTTTAAAAAACGGTAGCACAGTGGGGTTGCGGCACAGTGTAAGCGTAGCATAGTAGAGACTAGTATAGATAATATCTGACAGTGATTAAAATTACTATAATAAGAAACGCTTTGATATAAATCTATAGATAGTGTTTAATTTTAAGAAATTGGTGGATTATTGAAAAGCAAAATTCTAACTCAAAAAGAATTACGGAAAAATTTCAAAAAAATCATTGCCAAAGGCAATGATTTTTACTGAATAGGTAAATGTTCGTCGCATTCGTTTTTTGATAAAATTGGCAATTTCAGTTCATTCAAATGTTAAAATAAATTTTTTTGACTTTAAAGAAAAAAAAAATTGATATAAGTTTAAAATTATATTCTATGTCAATAAGATTTATATAATATTCATGAAAATCAGTGTACCCTTTTATAAGGTATTTAAAAATAAATTAAAATACAATACCAAGAATTTTAACACAAAGTAGCATGTTTTTTAACTACGGAAACCATTTTCATATAGAAGATGAGTCGTTGGGATAAATTTTTTTTTTTTTTATCTATAGTACATAACATTAGCTTTATTTTAACATATGTTTGAAGCTTGGAATATTTCAGGAAAATGTTAAAACTTAAGTTGTAAAAGTTAAATTTTTGTACAGAGTTGCTATTTTGAATCCCCCCCTGTGAACAAGTAAAGGGTCATATTTCCAAAAAAATTATATCAAATGAAAGGAAAATATATAGGCATTCAGTATGAAAAGTAATTATTTTGATTTGTTCATTTTTAAATAGGTTACGGTAATTTTTAGAAAAAAAAATGTCGAAATTTACCGATTATAAAAATCGTAATTTTTTGGGGGGTTTCCACTATTTACGGGAAATGAGGCCAAAATTTTCAATTTTTGAAGGTAGTGACTTCAACTAGATATGATTTGTAATATTTTGACGTATCGTTGATGAAAATCGGTCCAGTGAAAGGTGAGAAAAAGTAGTGACAGACACAAAAAAATAAACACATCATGGTAAAATTAATACCTTCTCAGCTTCGCATCGAAGCTAGTATTCCCTTCTTACTCAAATAAATAGTAATTTGTTCACATAGGAAAGGTGCCTTTCTTTTCCATACATACATGCTTAAGAGTTGGGTCCATGGTAGACCTAATGTTGGGGAACCGAGAGGCGTGGAAGCTCGATCAGGCGATCGCTGAATCCGTCTTGAGAAAATAGGAGGAAGCAGAACACCTAAGACAGGGGCAACCACGTCGCCCGGTACAGGAAGACCTGAAGCGTTGGTTAGGCCGGCACCTTGGTTCTTGTTTTTGCGTTATCTGTGTTTTGTGTTGTAAGTTATTTTGCCAACCATCACAATATAATAAATGGGGGGAGGGGTAAACCACGCTGCACCCAAAGAAAAACCTCAATCAAAATTGAAAGAGAAATTTTATCAAGGGTTTATGATAATGTTTTATTAATACGAACAAAATAACTATTCTTATAAATAATTATTGTTCAAGACAAGAAAAAAAAATATCATATTGATAAATATATCATTGATTCAATAGTAATGATATATTTATCAAATTGAACAATGAATTTATTATATAGATCGAGGTTTTTCTCTGGGTGTGTGAATCAGCTCTTGATTAACTTCGGGTTGATTCACAACGTAGTGGTGTGAATTATAGAGACGACGTGGGTCGCCCTGAAGTAATGCCTAATGTCAGTTTCAGGGCAGCCCACAATAATAAGTGAAAAAAAATTGTCTTGACGAATTGTTTTCTACATATAAACTGCCCTCAAAGTTTCACAAAATACGCTATTTTATTGTAAAAATCGCTGTTATTATTATTTTATATTCCAATTATTAAAAAATTATAAATCGAGAATTATATGCATCTAATTAACATAGACGCAATTATTAAAAAAATGTTAGAGAGTTCTAACTTATTTCATTCTTCCTTAAATTATTTTTTTTTTATAAAAATTTACAACATTTTGAAAATTATTATAATTTTATGATATAAATATAAATAATATTATAAATTATTATAATTTGAAAAATAAGATTTAACTTTTGGGTTTTTAAATGGTTATAATAAGTAATCACCTTAATAAGTACAAATAAATAAATAAATGTTAATGTTGTTTTATGGGATTTGGAAAAAAATTCACATTTAAAAACGACAGCATTGTGATACTTAATTCTTTGGTAGGTGTGGTTTTGCGTGGTCTCCATCTTGTTGTGTCAGGAATATTCCGGATACATCGGTTGGTTGCGCAGGTGGTCGATATCTTCTTCCGGTTATTCATATCATTATTTTCTTAAGAAAAGCAGTCACGTATTCATCTCTCATTTATTAAAATATTTTAATGTATGAAAAACGCGTTATTTTATGTTATTATAAAATAGTAAAATGACTAATATAATTTTTTTATTTTTAAAACTTTAAGTACTTTATACAATACTAAAAATCTTATTTACGTGCATAAAATTACTAAAAATTATTACCATTTCTTTTTATGCTAATTGATTTAATAGCAACAAACATTTAATTTGGTAATTTAAAAGATGGAAATTCCCAAAAAACTACGATATTTAAAATTGGTTAATTTCGACAATTTTTAAATTTATTTTGCTTAAAACTGTCATAACTTTTTCGAAAAACGTAGGAATCAAAGCGATACTTTTTTATTTAAAATACCTTAGGTATTTCCACTTCATTTGATATAATTTTTTTGAAAATCTGACTTATTAACTACTAACAAGGGAATTCAAATTAGTGATTTTTGCACAAAAGTTAACTTTTTCAACTTAAATTTTGAAAATATTCCGGAAATACAGTGTACTTTAAACACGTGTTAAAGCTTATGTTACGAACTATAAATTAAAAAAAAAATTTGTTCAGACGACTTATCTGCCATTGAAAATTTCTACCGTAGTTATAAAAACATTATATTGTGTTGAAATTAGTTATTTCGTTATAAATATGAAATTTGTTATTTCATATTTTATTTTTCCAATAGTCAAAATATATGGATTTACATATTTTTTTTAGCTTTGATGCGAAGCTGAGAAGGTATTAATTTTACCATGATGTGTTTATTTTTTTTTTTTGTGCTGTTACCACTTTTTCTCATCTCTCACTGGACGATTTTGATGAATAATATGTTAAAAGATCACAAATCGTATCTAGTTGAAGACATTACCCTTAAAAATTGAAAAAAATTCCCTTGTTCCCGTAAATGGGGGAAATTTCCAAAAAAAAAATTATATACAACTTAATTTCTTTTTATTATTGAAACCTTAAATATTTTCCTTTCATTTTATATTATTTTTTTGAAAATCTGACTCTTTACTTGCTTACAGGGTGGATTCAAAATAGCAAGTTTTACAGAAACAAGCTTTTTCAACTTGACTTTGAAAATGTTCTGAAAATACTACAACCTTTAAACGTATATCAAATTAAAACTTATGTAATATACTATAAAATGAAAAAACGAAATTTGTCCTGACACCTTGTTTTCTACGTACAAACGGCTTCCATAGTTAAAAAAATGCTGTTTTTTTGTGTTAAATTTAAACTTTAAATTGCTATAACTTTTTGAATAATGTATGTATCAACACAACATTTTTTTTTTCTAAATACATAAAATATATACCTCTTTCATTTAACATACTTTTTATTTAAATTGGTCAATTTTCCTTTATACAGGGGGCTTTCAAAACTTGAAAAATACTTATAGAAAGTAGATTTTTTTCAACTTAACTTTTGAAAATGTTCCGGAAATACTGCGTCCTTTAAACATATGTCAAATTAAAGCTTACAATAAATACTATAAGTTCAAAAAAAAAAATTTGTCCTAACATCTTTTCTTCTATAGAAAAATGGCCGTCAAAATTAACAAAACTTATAATTTTTATGTAAAAATCATTGTTTAACATAAAATATTTTAATACTTAAAAGTGCCAAAACTTTTTGAAAAATGAACAAATTAAAATTTTTTTTTTATACTGTAACCTTAAATATTTTTCTTTCATTTGATTTAATTTTTTTGAAAATCTAAACCTGCCTGCAGAAGGAATTCAAAAAATTAATTTTTGCACACAAGTTAAGTTTTTTCAATTTTTGAAAACGTTCCGGAAATATTGACACTTTTATTTAGTCTTAAATTAAAGTTTATATTATTATTTAGAATAATGTTCATAAGACATAAGAAGTTAAACTTATTTAAATTTTTTTGCTTTTTTAAAGTCAAAAAAGTAACTTTAAAATTTGAATTATCTTAAATTGCCAATTTTATTCATCGCCGAAAGCGACTAAGAGTTTAAGACCTACTTTTTTCAACCATATGTCAAATGATTACAATTCGTATTCAGTTGAAGATATTACCCTCAAATATTGAAAACAAATCCCTTAATTAAATAAAAAGTAGCTTAACCAGCTTTATCCATACAAACAATTAAAATCATTCATTTCTAATATTTTTAAAGTATTTATTGTCGAATTATATTTGATAAGATAAAAGTATTAAACTACAAAAGTAAATAATTTTACTTTTAATTTGTTAATTTTTTTAATCTGTTGGTGTGTGCTTGGTTTGGTAGATTTTTTACTATTTAATGATATTAATTTTAAACTTGCAAGTTGAGCTAAAAGTTATGGCAATAAATTCATCTTTTTTTTTATTATTAACTTTCACAAAAAAAAGTAGGTTAAAAACGATTACTTTTAACGTATTCAAAATCAATAATAATTTGAAAACAATTATAAAAGGCACTAGCCTTCACGATTTATCGATTATTATGTTTTCTCCCAAGTTGGTGTGGATTTTGTAGGACATATTGTCATTAAGGAACATAGAATAAGAAAGGCGAGAGAGAGTACAAGGTATACGTGGCAGTATTTATTTGTTTTACAGTAAAAGCAGTGCTCGAATTGGCCAAAAATAAGTAGGGGAGCTCAACTTAACAATTTGAAAACTGCGTCCCTAGCATTTTGAAGACTTTTTTTTTTTTTTTTTTTATTCATTACTTTATTTAGTATTTATTAATAAATTATATTTCATTATCATACTAATATTAAAAAAAAAAAAAAAAGAGGTGGTATTTTCCACTGTCCTCATAAAAAAAAGTAGTTTGGGTGCGCAAAAAATTTTAAAAAAAAGTAGAGGAGCTACGTCCCCCTGCGCACCCCCCCCAATTCGAGCACTGAGTAAAAGCAATACATCTGGAATATGTGTCGGATCTATCCACAGAAGCATTTTTGGCGGCCTTACATCGTTTTATGAGGTCTGCCTACTGACTTATATTCCGATTGCGGGACAAACTTTGTTGGAAGTTCTAACTACTTTCGTAATCTACTTAGCAAGCTTGATTGACCAAATAAATTAATCGTCAGCCTAAAATGTAATTGACACTTTAACCCGCCAAGCGCACCACATTTTGGGGGCCTATGGTAAGCCGTGGTCCACTCTGCAAAATCTATATTGATACTGATTATCGAAAATCAAGTTTTAACCTTGGAGGAATTTTGCACTGTCTTATGCCGAGTGGAAGCTATTCTTAATTCGCGTCCCTTAGTTCCTCTTTCTTTTGGCCCAGCTGAAAGTGATTGCCTCACGCCGGGACATTTTTTAATTGGCTGCCCACTGCTTTCTCTCCCAGAAAATAATATACCGGAAAATGAGCAACCCCTTGTTAGCAGATGGAAACTAGTTAATCAAACTTCCCAGTCATTCTGACGGCGCTGAAGAGACGATTATTTACACACTCTACAAACCCGCAACCTTTTGACGAAAAATGCGCCTAACATCAATGTCAATGGCTTAGTCGTTATCAAGGACCCACAGTTACCCCCCTTAAAATAGCGCATTGCTAGAGTACAAGAAGTCATTCCAGGAGCAGTTGGGGTAGTTCATGTTGTACGTCTTCGTACTAGCGATGGAACGTTAATGCGGGCCGTAGTTAAAATAGTCAAGTTACCCACTTCGTAAATATTTTTCTATTATGTATAATATACATAATACATAATAATTAATACACTATATACATTGTATATATTGTATTAATTATCTATCAGTCTAATTATTTAATTAGTATATTTACACGTTATGTTTATGTATTGCATTATGTGTTGGAAACAAAAAAAGGGGGGAGAAAATACATATTTATTAGTTTATTTTTATTACAATTAACAATGTGATCGGTGGTTTCCTGCACTTGTTTAGAAATAGAAAAAAATAAGTCTATCTTAGAATATGGATTTGTTTACATTTTTATGTACTTACGTTATTTGTCTAATATGACCAAAATTTGTTGGTGGTTATGTATTGCCATGTATTTATTTAATTATTTTTATATTTATACCATTTTTACAGTTTTATACATTAGTTATTATTACTGATTGTTTTGTTATACTTTTACATTTTATATTGTTGTTCTTATTTGTTATGAGTTGTCCACTCATGCTATCAAGTTCTGTAGTGCTCTATCCCAATCTATGGATCAACTGTCTAGACTTAAATCGCAAGACCTGGTCGTCTTCTAATGGGGAGGATGTTCAAAAGTTACGTGTGTAGCCTGGTCAAGTTCCACGTAGCTTAAAATCGCCCATTACCCCTCTCGTCGCAATCATAACAGTCGTGTCCGTAACTACCGGCACCTAGTTGTCATTAAGTTTGTATACGCGGATGACGTTATACCGTATCATTGGGTCTGATGACTCGTGACCAATGAGCTGGCGTGTTTTCTTTTTGTTTTGTTGTTGATTGGATTGGATCGGCCTGTTTAGGTGACAACCAACAGTTTCTTTCATCCGTTACGTACTACTACGCGAGTGCACAACGGAAATCAAGACCAGCGGAGGTGACATTCCATACTTAGAAGGAGAATTGATTGGGAAGCGTTCGGCAGTCGATCCAACGTCAAATTGCAGTGTGGTTAGCTGATGGTTGGGTGATGTTTTNTCGGCAGTCGATCCAACGTCAAATTGCAGTGTGGTTAGCTGATGGTTGGGTGATGTTTTTACGAATTTTTTTTTAGTATTAATGTATCAATATATTGAATGTATATTAGTTTATATAAAATAAATAAAATTACTGTCTCTAATTGATCTTAAGTGGATTGCCTTATCGTTGTTCGCCTGTAAAGAGTAGCAGAAAACACCCGACCCGTCATTTATATATATAGTTAATTAAGTTAACGTTTATGTAAAGTATTCATCGTGTTCTCCTTTGCCAAACTCGTGCTCTATATACTCTGTCTTACTCCTACTTATCTTAAACAATTTTCTTCAAGAGCTGATTTCCACACCTCTAACCTTTGATTAATTTCCTCCTATTAACACTATATCGTCAGCAAACAACATGCACCACGGCACCTCTCTTTGTATTTCTCTAGTAATTTCATCCATCAATTTAGAGAATAAGTAAGGGCTTAAAGCAGAACCTTGGTGCACTCCTACTTTTACCTGAAAACCTTCTGTTACTCCTCCTATGCTTTTTACCCTGGTACAAGTGCCATCATACATATCTTCTAATATATTAATATACCTTTTTAAAATTAAGAGATGTTTTTCGAATTTTTGGTGGCAATAGATTTTACTTGATTAAAGCCGGGTTCTTATAACACATAGAAAATTAAAATCGATCTCGTGAAAGAAGAATTTTCATAAAAAAACATTATAGTAAAACAAATACCTCTCAAGCTTATAGGCGTTTGGAGGGGCACGATGACTTAGCCACCTCTTTAGTAAAGTTTGGTCATCCTACGCTTATATCTCAGCTTCACATTGAAGCTAAAAGATGTTAATAACCTTACAATGTATAAGATACAGTATGTTTTAAAATAACAATAAATATAATTTTCTAAAATGTTGAGAAGTTTAACTCCTTCTATAATATCCACATTATTTTTAAGGGTGTATTTGAAACAGTCCAAAAATATATTTTAATGATAACATATGCTTTAAACTACAAAAATTATTGGTTTTAAAACTTATTAACAATAAACAATAAATAAGAATTCACACTAATTTAAATTTTAGAGTTTATTTGCATAAATATTGTATAGTTAAGTAACATAAAATGATCCTAATTATTGATATTTAACGTATAATAATAATTATGTATTAATATTGTTAATTAATTATATAAAAGTTAAACTATCGTACTTTTTTTTTTTATAAAACTAGGTCTGTACAATTTGAAATAATGATAAAAATTAATAAAAATTTGTATTTAAATTATTTATACATAGAGGTATTTATTGCACTTTTCGATAGCATATTTGAATAATATGTTATTTAAACTTTACTACATAGAATATTTCTTTAATCAATCAAATTAATTGTTATAATTAAAATAAAAATTATATATATATATACACACTTCTTAATTCAACAGATTGTTTTAATACAATATTCCTAAGTATGTTAGATTGTCACAAGATCTAATGGCGTTAAAAATAACTATATACACATAATATTACAATATCTTTATAATTATTTTAATTATAATATTGTTTATACTATTGATAACAAGACAAATTCAATCTACGTTTAATAGAATAAATATATACATATGTATNAACAAAACAAATTCAATCTACGTTTAATATAATAAATATATACATATGTATCTATAAATATATATAGTTTGGGTTTGGATGGGTTAAGTTTAGATTTAGTAAGATTTAGATTTTTAAAATGTTAGAAGAAGTAAACTATATCAAATTTATTTATTGAATTAAATAAACGATTTCGTTCAACCAAAATTAGTAATGCTAATTAATGTTTAATGTTTCTTTTTTAATCATAAATTTATTAGATAAAAAGTGTTTTCCTTAAATCTGGTACAGAATAAACTACAATATATAATTTTTTTTTGAATTTATAACTTTTTTAACACCAGTTAGAAAGTTGTAGTTTTCATTGTTGTTTTTTGTTATAATTATTACAATGAAAAATTACTCTATATGGAAAACTTTTTTTGAGCTTGTAATTTGCCGAGTTTGTACTTAACTAGAATTTGTGTAAATACTGTGTCATCGTATTTTAAAATTTAAAAAAATATTTAACATTATCTTTCTTGTAATTAATGTACTTCAAAATTTTAGAACGGATTATAAAATTTTGAAAGATATATTGCGAAAAAAATTGTGTTTTTGAGTAATTAAAAATGTATACAATATATTAAATTAGAGACAATTTAATATAAAAAAGGTTAGAGTAACAAAAAATATGAATAACCTGAACTTGTAAGAAGTATAATTTTGAAATTAAAATGTTTATTTTACAATTTAATGTCTAAACATTAAGCTATAAAATAAACAATTAGTTAAGTATAAGTATATTTATAAAAAACAGGAATTTTAAAAACATGTGATAAACAAAAAAAAAGGTATTTTTATTTTTTACTGTAAATAAACTAATATATAACAACTTTGTTTTTAGACAGTAAATTAATTAAAAATTTACATTATAGTAAAATTTAATCGTAAATGTCGTATTTTTAAGGAAAATAAATGATACTGAAAATCTATATATTTATATATATCTATATATTTATATATATATATATATATATATTTGAATTTTCAACCCTAATGTACTACTGGTTGGCCGATCTCAACTAGTTGGGATTAAGACGAGGAAAAAGAAGAATTTACTATTAGTTGGAATTAAGTTATGGTGTCCCAATTTGCAGAAAATTATTTTGTTATAGCATTTGAAAAATTTAATCTGTTGTTAGTTAGATCAGAGACCCAGCCTTGTATAATATAAATATGAATCTAATATTAATTTTATTATTGATACCATATTATAAATGAATAGCATTTAGCAACCAAGTAACTTTATATTAAGATACATCTGCAATTTTTTTTTTTAATGTTAACAAAAATATAAACAGATAATTATTTGTTAAGATTTAAAATCATTGAGGAAAAAATAATTGATAGGTAAAGGACGAAGACAATAGATTTAGACAATTTCTATAAATTTTAGAAAAGCAAAAACAAAGTTAGACATTTTTGTCCTTTTAATAATAAAACAAAAATAGAGCCTTCAATTTAACAAAATAGAAGTATTTTTCACCGGAAAAGTTTCACTTCTTGATACTTCTGTTATAAATTATTACGTATGGATTATATTACAATTAATATTAGTTTTTTTAACTAAAAATAAGCTTTTCTTATTAATCATTTCAAGTAATTAGAAAATTTTAATTAAAATATTTATCTTGAAGCCTAATTCGTTTATGGAATGTTAATCTTCAAAACATACATTTGATTTTATATTAACAAAAGTAAACATACATCTCTATAAATTTCACTTTTAGTGTGTATCAAATAATATTTTTTAGAATGAAATGTGTTGGTTGTTATTAATGCAAATATCGTATTGAAATATTGAAATGACTTGGCTTTCATTCGGTAGATTTATAATAGGGTCGCACAGTACTTGCCGATAGGGATCGTGCAGGCCAGTGTACGTCTGTTGGTCATGGTGACGCATAGTGTGAATAACTTGCCAGGTGCGGCGCAACACTGCTGTGATGATTAACCGCGGGACTGGATCCTGGGTGATGGTGACCCATTGAATGTGATGCTGAAGCGGCTGCTATATTAGAATAAAGGTTAGCACCAGGGTTACTCCAATAGGACGACGCTGAAGGAAATATACTTCCTAAAATCAATAAGTCACATTTTTATTAATTAATATTTGTAATACAATAGATAAAACACTTAATATATTTATAAAATTTGTTTAAAATAAACTTTATAAATGACTAAAATAAACCTGTATAATAATTAAATTTATTAATAAAGTCTGGAGACCTGATAACAAATGTATAAATCTCATCATATTTACGTATATATTTACTATAAAAGATAGTGTCATAGGTTTTACGTTTTTAAATATTAATAAATAATACTCAAAAGGTGAAACTTTTCGAAAACATATTGGAAATATAGTTTAGCAGTTAACTGTGCGTAATTAGGTAGAACTGGTAAAAGGAAAATATAATGCCAGATATTTTTATTATTGTTAAAATAAAGTAAAAAGGACAAATTTTTCTTTTAAATAAAACAATTATTTAAACTTTCTAACTTTAACTTTTACGCTAAAATGACAGAATAATTTTGACTTATAAAATTATAAAAAATTAAATAAAATATAAAAAAACCTAATAATGTTTTTTATTATAAAACTTAGCGTTTAAAATGATAAAATTAACAGTGTTTACTTAAACCAAGTGAAATATAACCAATTAAAATTACTTTGTTTGTGATAAAATTTGCTTGATTTCAATAGGCATTGAAAACTTTCCACATTCACATAATGTTATCAGGTAAAGAAAACGAAATTTTAATTTTAATTTAATTAATGAACCTCGAAATAAAAATAAAATTAAAATGTGATCTCAAATATTTTAATAGTAAAAAAATTTACATTTCATTCATTTTTTTTATAAAATTAGCATCACGAACCGCTTGGAATAAAACCCAAAAAACTCATCAGTTTTTCGTTAGTCGAGTAAAATAAGCAGTGACTAAATTTGTCAACTGTACATAATAAACTTTGGACGATAGTATTGGTTTATTACTAGTGAAGTCTGTATGGTGAAGGATAAAACTTAGTTATTGAAAATTTATTTTTTCTTGAGCTATAGGCGATTTTGTCAAAGGGCGAGTCGTGAATTCGTACGTTAATATTTCATAGTTTATTGCAATAAACAACCCCTGTGTTCGGTGTGCAATCAAAATAAATTTATTGACAAATCATATTACAAGCTAATGGACTTTTACTTCCAGATTGATTCTGTTTTATCCCATTTTATAACAATTATGAACATTTTATCAGTATATGATTTTCCTTGTGTACATTTGTTCTTAGTTATGTTATTTTTTATATACTGAAACTACATTTATCCTTATTCAATAAAATATTGAATTGAACATTTGTATTGTAAATAAGAGTTATTAAAATAAATGTAATAAAGGTACTTTATTGTTTCATAGAAAAAAGTTTCATTCAACGATGTTCAATGACAAATTTTAAATTGATTTGGAACAAATATACCATTTTATCGGTCTTGAATTTACATCATATGATAAGATTATGAATTACCTACCACCCCTCCATTAAAAACACTTATGTTTCAATGTCCTTCAATACTTTCCTTATAAATATTTTTAATTATTATTTATGTTATTGGTTAGAGCTGAATATTTCAAATTCACCTATAGTCATCGCTAAAATTATTGGCAATTAAATAATCTTAAAGAGATGGTATGCCAATTCAGATGATCTCTTTATTCTATTGAAATCCGAAAAAACAATATCCACATAGAACACTATTACAAGTTATCATATTATGATTTTTATCTTGGCATGGTCTTATTTAAATTTTATTGAAAAATAATTAAAAATTAAAATTTTTATTTGGGTCACTAATTCAAATATAAGTAAATTCTTTCAATTTTAATTTACGATAAATGAAAAATTCTAGTGTCATAAGTGCAAATAATAAGCTAATTATTAATACAAATTTTAGTGTAATAAAACTATATTATAAATAATTTGATAATTTATTTTTTGAAAATAGTACAAAAAATTAAAATATTTTTATATTACAATCATATTTTAATAAAATTAATGTCCTGATTTAGAAATCGATTGAGTGAAAAATTATGGTATACAATATTTTCAGTAGCGAGAGAAAAAGGGCCGTCCCCTTGCTTTTGCCAGTCATTAATGTTGTATAGAATGGTGTTAGTAGTTATAACGACGACAGAATAGTCATTAAGAGCCTATTGTGGACAGCTAATGAGACAGACAATTCGTTTCGGTGTATAAATATAGCTCCAGTTTGTACTTTACTAAATCTTCGGTAAATCATTTGATGTTAGAGAATAAGGGAGAGAATAATAAATTTTATAAAACTATTCAGAATTATGCAAAAACTTTATAAAATACCATAACACAGTTGTTACTCTATTAAAATCCTATCTCTCATAAAATTTTTTTTTGAAACTGTCATGAGAGAGAAACAACTTTATTTATTAAAGCGAACTGCCCGACATTCGGGTTGCCAATTTGACACAATGAAAAAATCAAACTTATTAGTTACACAAAAGTAAAAATATGGGTAATAAATACAATATAAATAATATAAAAAAATTAACGATACTCATGTCCGCAAGATGTATACATTTTTGTGTAAATGTAGTGGAAGTTTAAATGTATACAATAAATGAGGAAATATTGATGTCCTAGTGATAAAAATTAATTGTTGGGACACGAAATTTGTAAATTCAAAGTGATACTACTTATATGTTAAATTAATGTCTATATAAAATATACTATATGACTCGTACTGACAAATGGTAATTTTTTTTATTACTGTTTATTAGAAAATAAAATTAATAAGGTATATTGTTTATTTATTTTTATATAAATTATTCATTTGAAACATTACTTATATGTTATTTATTAGTACTAGGGATATGATCACTGATATTATCATAAAGAACACATTAAAAAAAAAGATAAAGATATTTATAGAAAGCTGATCTTCAAAGTGAGGTCAATTTGATAGTACATACTAAGGGTGATAATTCGTACTGTAAGGTGTAGAGATCAATGTAAATTCACTTCATCTTTGTCATGCAATGAATGCCCGCCGGTAAAAGGCGTGTGGTTGACAAGTCTTGTATCTCGTTCCCCTAATATTCTCCATGAGAGTTTCCTACAGCTAAATTTTCACGCTTTAAAAGCACAATCGTTTACATATAGACGGTATAGTTGTTTGTTTATTCTTCCCGTCCAAACATTGCATTTGCACGCACGAATGGTGATATTTTCCTTTATCATTCTCTATTCGCATGATTGGTAACATCTTACGTATTTAAAAAACTCGTATACGAATCTCATTGCAGTATGTTTATTGTTATCATCTTGTTGTATATTTTATCCATATTACAAGAATATGATATTTATTTTTATGTTAAATTCTATACCTGAATTTTTATTTATCTTAATTTATTTTTAAAGATGGATATTACTTAAGATAACATATAATGTAATGTTAATGTCATAAAAACGTTTTTGTAAAATTATTTTATTATTGCAATCTGAGTTTATATTTAAAAAAAACAATTGTATCTTATAAATTAATATTATTATATATTATAATATAAACGTTTTAAAATCAATCATTATACCATAATAATAATAAAAGTAATATTTCTTTTCTGTATTAAAGGAAAATAATTTTTATTTTATTAGTTAAATTTATACACAAATACTAATTAGATGTCCTATCTAGTTAAGAAATAACGTGGGTCTGGGCACTCAAGTACCGCAATTCGATTCCATTGTACCGGACTATACCGTCCTCTTTGTTATTAGTTATAGTATAATAGACACTATCATTATTTTCAAACATATATGATTATGATAAGGCTAAATGTAGTTATAATGAAATATACACTTAATAGATACTTGATAAAACAAAAATTGAAAATTTCTATAANAATGTAGTTATAATGAAATATACACTTAATAGATACTTGATAAAACAAAAATTGAAAATTTCTATAATTTATTAAGTGTAGTATGTCCTATAATAGTTCACTAACCTGTTGTAGACGTGATTCCAGGTGCGTGAGGTGAAATAAAATTTAATTTTGGCGAATGATGATGATGATGATGGTGATACGTTGTCATAAACAAGTCTGATTGATACTTATATGCAGTCGGATCTGCAGTTGCTGGTTGGGTAGCCGCAGCTAGTCCTTGAAAGTCAAATTTATAAGCATACCTTTTTCCATGCACTTTTGTCATAATGTTTTTATCATAGTAATACCTATAAAAAATATTGATATGATTAAAAAAATATTATAGTATAAATTTATGGTTAACAAAAAAGTTCCAATGTCAAATGTGTACACACATTTTGTCAGTATTACACAAAAAAAATTATAAACATTTTTTATTGTTATTGAATTACAAACAAAGAAAATTTTTTTATAATAATATAGATATTTTTATTATAATATAGACATTTGATTATTCGTTATTATTACACGCGTGGCTATAACAGTAAAATTTCAAATTTATAATAAATAAATTGTTTTAGATTAATTTTTTAACAATGAGGTTCACAAATATTCTTTATAGAATATTTAGTTGTTTTTCTAATTTTTTACAGGCTTGAGCTTCTCGAGTGGATTATACCATTCTTGATATTGAATTTAATGATAGCCAGTGATAATAAATAGATAGTAACAGTTAATTTAATATCTATTATAAATTATATTTCTAATATTTTTTGAATAGATTATCAATCTCTAATTCCCACAGTTCAATATCATTCATTTGTATTTTTGGAATAATCATAATGTTTGTAGTCCATTATTATTAATTTCTAATACAAAAAATAGGAACTGCGATTTATGTGTTAATTTTTAATGGTTGTGTTTCAAATATTAACAAATAAGATTATGTAACTGGTAGAGCGCCTCATATTCATTTTTACTTTACCCCCTTGGGATACTGCGCAGTTAATTTCATTGCTGAATAAGAAACTCGACAAACGACACTTTATTGCATGTAAAATTGAAATATCATGCGTTATTATTATATTGCATATACACTGTTCTAAAACTGTTTATTAAAAAAGTTATTAATTAATTTTTTTAATTAAAACAAGAAATTATTAAAAAATCACTGAATATTACTAAAATTTCATATGTTTTTTGTTAACTATGAATTTAATTGAATAAGTTAAATAAGTTAAAAAAGTTAAAGAAATTACTAGGATATTATTCACATCTTAAATTTAGGATAAAATTATTATATGAGTAAAGAAATGATGAAACGGCTTTAGTAAAAACTAAAATAATGTTTATTAGGCTATGTTAAAAAAATATTGTAGGTTTTCAGAGATTTAGCGATCTTATTTTAAAATTAAATTAAATCATAGAGCTAAAACTATAAAAACAAATGTTTAATATGCGTAACGTATACTGAATTAATAAACGATTTCAAATAGTGTTTTGTGCTTTTACAAAATATCAGGAAAAAGGGCGATGGTGATTAACACACAATCAATGGCAATCACGGAGAATCAACCCCTGTACAATTAGAGCACCCAAATCCATTTTTACACGCCCCTAATCCCATAATTAGGATATATTACATGTTCGCACCCCAAGGCGAACAAATGAAATACGTGTTAGATAAAGTGTTGTGAGGTGTTTCTTTTTTGAAAATAAAATGTTTTTAAATAACTAATATAAAATTGTATGTTACAAATGATTATTAAAATATATATTAATATGCGCATTTAAAATGCTTCATTTATCTACTTGTAAGTATTCATTTTATCATTAAGTGTTTATATTGTCTGTGCATAAAATTTTCAAGCTTTCAATGAACTGATTTTGCTAATTTATACATTAAAATATCCTAAATTTAATGTAGCTGAACTTATAGGCGTATATTGGGAGGTTTGGAAAGGCTTAGTCTTCCCAGTTTACAAGTTAGCCTGTCCAGAAATTAAGCAAATTATATGTATTGTTAAATAAATATCTATCCTCTCTAAAGATCTATCCTTATGTTAAAGAGGACGGGAAAACGTAAATATCCTAGTGCAACAAAATCGAACTGATACATAGGAATGCATATTAACGTTTTAAACGTTTCCGACTAAATTAAATAAATCATTTAAAATCATGTAAACATACCTCAATGCTCGGCTCAGTTTATCATAGTTCATGTTAGGTTTTGATTTGCGTTCACCCCATCTACGAGCTACTTCGTCTGGGTCAGTTAATTTGAATTCTCCGTTAGTTCCTTCCCAGGTAATACATGCTGCATTACTACTATCTGACAGTAATTCTAAAAGGAACTGCCACAATTGTATTTGACCGGAACCTAAATGAAATAAGATATTAAAAGTTATTACAACTCATGTAATTTAAAATTAATGTCTATTTAGTAATAAAATATAATTAATACAAATAAAAAAACAATATTTGTATGACACTGACAATGAAAACATCAGCATGAAGAGATCATTGTTAAATTTTTTCTTTCTTTGTTTCAATCAGAATTTATTATAAAAAAATGTTTGTGACTGTGATATAATCAGAGGAAGATATTGGGATTATAACTTTCCCTGAAACGATAACGTTTCTTGTATTATAGTAATCTATTTATTTTCTATTCATCATGTCTTTTAAAGAAAATCTTATTCAAAAAAATTACACTCTAGGGTTTTTTTTTAATGTTAAAAAATGTCACCCGAAATTTTTTTAAAAATTTTAAATCTCGAAATAATATCTACAAAATTTGAGCTTTATATGATATATTAAACAGCGGGTTTATAGTTTAGAAAATATAAAAATTTACATTAATAAAATGTCTAAAACTGTATAAAAATATTTTCAAGCAATTTTTGATTTTTCAAAAGTCACCAGGAACATTTTTGTAGAATTTGTAATTTAGTTTTTTTAAATTTAATTAGTGAAAAAGAGGTATGGAAGATTGTGGCATCGATAAAAAAGAATAAAGCAGTAGGACCAGATGAAGTGCCAGTAGTAGTATGGAAAATATTAGGCGGTGTTGGCATAAGGTAGTTGAAGGATCTTTTTAATAAAATGTTATTAGAAGAGAAATGTCAAAAAAACAGCGGAGTAATATTTTTATGCCGATAGTTAAAGGTAAAAGAGACATATAGGGTGTGGAAATTATAGAGACATAAAACTTATGAATCATAGTACGAAATTTTGTCTCGAAAAGGTATATTAATATAATAGAGGATATGTATAATGACACTTGTATCAGTGTAAAAAGCGTAGGAGGAATAACAGAAGGTTTAGGGTAAAAGTAGGGATGCATCAAAGTTCTGCTTTATTCACTTATCTATTACCTTTTTTAAAATTTCGTACTATGATTCATAAGTTAAGAGCATAAGCCTCTATAATTTCCACACTCCTGTATGTCTCTTTTACCTTTAACTATCGGCATAACAATATTATTCCGCTGTTTTTTTGACATTTCTCTTCTAATAACATTTTATTAAAAAGATCCTTCAACTACCTTATGCCAACACAGCCTAATATTTTCCATATTACTATTGACACTTCATCTGATCCTACTGCTTTATTATTTTTTATTGATGCCATGCCCATATCTCTTTCTCACTAATTAAATCTACCAGTCCCTCGTGCCACAAGACATCCTCTAATTTCGCTTTTAGATACTCCTTATTCAATAATTTTTCAAAATACTCTTTCCATTTTTTTTCACATCATCATCATTCGATTGTGCCTTATTATCAACCCTTTTTATATACCTTACATAATCTATATTGCTAGTCTATAGAAAAAATAAAGAAACAAAGTGGGAACAACGAGATTGAAGTTCAAATAAAAAAAGTCGAAAATATGTAAATACTTTCAAGTATTTTCAAATAAGTTTTTACATGATTATCTTCTCAGCGAGTTATCTAAATAAATATTCTATAGTTATCTGAATTGTGATCTCAAATAAAATTTTAACTTTTCTAAATCTTTTGTGATGTAAAATTACAAAATATAAAAATTTTATTGGTTAAGAAATCACGATTTACATAGTACCACTAGTTGAGAGGTCGATTTTTGATTATTATATCACATTATCTAATTTAGTTATTTTATCATTACTATAATTTTGTTTTTGAACAACTTGATAGTTTATAGATACATATTATAGTCTGCAGTATGATTTTTATTCATAACTTACTAAGTAATGTATCATTATTCACAAAATGAAAATAATTTAAACTTTTTTTTTTTTAGTTACTTTTAGTTACATATTATTCTTGAATTATTAACTTTGTATTACTTTTTCAGTTCATCCCTTATGCATTGTAAAAGTATCAACTTTGTTCTTTTTAATGGAAACATATATTATGAATTTAATAAAATGTTTGAGTTTTCACTTTAATGGTAAAGGGCATATAAATTTTTAATATAACTTTATTTGTATATTAAATATAAAACTTAAATGTTTCAATTTTTTGAATTTATATACATGTATATTAATTATATTAAATATTATATATATAATTCACAGATAAGAATTATTTTTTCTTGAGCACCCCTTTTAACTATAACTATTAATTATATTAATTAAAAAAGTTATGTTACAAAATATGTTATCGACTAGTAAAAATAAAATGTAATCCAATCCCCATTCAGCATTATAAATGTTTTTTTTTCAGTTTTTAAAAATGTTTTAGAACACATAAAAACTTTTAACCTTTATAAAATTAGTACATTTATAATATTAACGATATTAAAAAAAAAGAAAAACGTACCGACGATTTGTATTTTATGAGTATTTGGCTATTAAAGTTAAAAATTTTTGTTAGATTTTTAATTTTTTAATTTTCTTTATATGCCATAACGTCAAAGTAAGTTATGATAGTGATATGAATCACTTTCATACATGGATAAGTGTATTTTATTTTGTTACACTTTGTATACAGGCTATTTAAATCCACATCGTAAATCCTTCACAGACATACATGTAAAATAATACTTCTATAATGTTATTTTTCTTCCATAATTATCATGTGTCATTTTTTAAGTTTCTTCAAGATATCTATGTTAATTAAAAAATGTTTGAAATTTATACATGTAAGTTATTTATAATGAACTAAACACGATTTTCAAGAACTCGTTATTATGCTAATAGTTAGAATCATTACCCTATTTGTATATTTTTAATTTTTTTGTTAAAAATATATTTAGGTTATAATTTTAACATAATTTAAATTATTAGCTAAGAAAAAATTAATCATGATCATAAATCATATTTACAATAATTATCATTGTTATGTGTTTTTATTAAGTATTGTATAATTAACTTGGGGTACCCAACGAACGTGTGCCGTGTGCCAGATAAGATATTTTAGGACAGTAGACCATGACGAAGGGTGAATAAAAAGTGTGCACGAAGGAATAGAACATTGAATACACGCAAAACGCGTATAACTCAAAATTAGACCTTTGAAATAAATGTATTGCGTGGGAATAAATTGTTGTTCTGTGCTTCAATGAATCTCAATAAATTATTTTACTATTTTAGGGTAAAATGTTGAATAGATTTTTGTCACCTTAAAACATTTGGTTATATATTTTTAGTACATTGTTTATATATCAACTAATAAGCTTAAAAAGAACATACCAGAACTGGCTAATCGGCTGCTTGTTGCGCCAAACATTTGATATGGATCTGTAACAAAATTTTTGATATAATTAAACTAATTAATATAATTATTTAAATGTAAATCAAAAAATATTTTTTTTCATTTGATTTAAAAAAATTGAAAATTTATAGTATAATTTTTAAAAAAATATCACAATTTTTTTATTTTGTAATTATAATTACAGTCTTAGATCAACATCTAACATAAATTATAAATACTTTTTCTCTTTGCAACAAACTAAATTTAGTCCTTAAAAACTTTTTACTTTCGTTAAATCGTCACTAACATTTTTTAAATTACATAACATTTTTAAGGTTTTAAACGGTTAAATGTTAGTTATTGCATAAAATATTACTTTTTATTATATACAATAACTACCCCAGCATAATAAAAGTTGTGATTGTTTTTTTGAGTACCTACAAATTTTAATATAAATTTTTGTTATAATGTAAGCAAAATAGCATTAATGTGCACCACATTCATCCTTGTGTTACGTGAAACTTATACTTCAAGTCTCAATGTAATTAAGTCTACACGTAATTTGTATCAATATAAGTTGGTTGGGTTGGGTTAGCACTTCAATAGAAGCATTGACAAACATTTTTTTTTATTTTTATTCAGAAAACCTATCAATACTGTGGTTATTACTTATGATTGCTGTAATATATTTTTTTAATGTAACTTTTTATCTTTTTTTGTTGATCAGCCATTCTTATTATTCTGAATAATAATATCTGGTATTTAGCTAATAAATGTAAGGGCTCTTTTTCTAGTGGAATCTTTACAAATGTACTTAATGTTATATGATACTAGTTGCTCCTCTATGGTATTTCTTATTTTAAAAATTATTGTTTAGACCAAAGTTATTCGAGTTATATACGTGGTCTACTTGTCAGCAAGTGTACAGAAAATGTTACTCATTGTGAAGAGATTATAAAATTCGCTTTTTATATAAATTGACCTTAACGTAATTAAAAGTACCGTATTAAAAAAAAAATGTTAACATAAACTTACGAGTCAGCTGATAGTCCTTTTTTAAATTTTATGTATACAATTTAAAAACCATGAAACAATATAAGTAAGTATTCAGAGTGGAGCCGTTTGTTGTAAACAACTCGATTATTCTCAAAATAAATAAAATGTTAAAAAAAATAAGTTGAGCTACATATATATAAATCGATTTGTCATAGTTACTTTTTCGAATTATCCTTTATAATTCATAAGGGTGTCAATTTTATTTTTTCAAATCGCAGTGTATATAATTTACTAGCATATTTAACAGATAATGAAGTAATTCAAAATATGACTGACTGGTCGATAAAATTTTTGGACCATTGGTGCTGTTATTTTTATCACAAGTATTTCCCGCCCGTATTCTTCATCCCACCTAGGTATAATAATGAGAATAGCGCTTGAAATATGGTCCAAAATTTATTATAGACCAGTCATTTTCTTAATTAGATTAATATTTTATAAGCTGATTAAATATGTTGTAATTAAAAAAAATTAATTTTATATCTCTTTAATCTCATAAGGGATGGTTCTAAAAAGTCATTATTAGCTGATATATATATGTAACTAAAAGAAACTAATAATTTCTTTTTATTATTATTTTTATTTTGTGAGTGATTGAGTGGTTTATGATAAACTGATATGCGAAAAGCCTCGGAAATTAAGTCATTGGATATTAAGTTACAATTATTTTTAAATTAGGTTGTACAAATTATCTGCCCGTAATTACACCACCAATAACATATTACGTTAATATGATTTTACTTTTTTTTTGTTTTCAAAATGAGTTCTATATTATAACGTATATTAAATAATATATTTCGATAAAATACACATTATTATTTTTATAATTTTTTGAAAATGTGGCTTTGACTTGTTATTATTCCGGTAAGCGATTTAAGTTTTACCATTTAAACCCAACCAAATCTGCGATTTTTTTTTAATTGTCTTAAAGGCTGGAAAAAATTTACAAAAATACAAAACACATGTTGATCGATAAGAAATTTTATGGGCTTTTAATTGAATGCTTTTAATTAAACTTTAATTTTTCAACGGTATATCATTGAAGGTTTTTGTCATATCGTTGAAAAAAATAAATAATTAATATTTACGTGTAAATTACAAATATTTTTAGAGAGGGAATGTGCAGATTTTAATGCCAATCTGATAAGTATATTATAGGTAAGGGGGCTATCTTTTTTATAGAAATGTTCTAGCTATCTCATGGCTGGCGCATGACTATATATTTTACTAAAATAATTTTAGTGAATGTATTTACTTTAAATAATTATATACTTAATCATTATTTAAAACTATAAAACATATTTTTCAATTAATAAAAAGAGCAAAAAAATAATAAAACCTACCATAATTTAACTTCTCAAGTAAAATTTTTTTTCCGTCACTAGTTAAGTACAAGTTATTAAAATCCAGTATTTAAATTCCAGACCTAAAATTTATGTTGACCAGTTTTATCAGTGTTATAACGCTTGGATGTGTATAAAAAGGGTTCAGTGAATAGATATGTGTAACTTTTCTTCTTTCGAGTTGATTTGCTAAACAATGCTATGGTTGAATTTAAACGTGATACACTTCAGCATGTCTGACATTTGAGCGCTTCTAAAATGCTTTAGCAGTTCCATTATCGGCACGTGGACTTCTTTACGGTTGTCTGAGTTGATTGACAGCTTATATAGTGGAGAAATAGATGGGGACTCAAGGTGTGTATAATGTGTATATATATAAATAGAGAAATCGTTTTTCACTAAATTTTTAACTTTTATATCAATTGTTCTTTTTTCGTATTCCTATTACCGATAATCCTTATCCATTACTTTATTATAATAAAAAAATCGAAATTTTTAAATTTGTCTTTTACTCAGTTACTACATAATATGAAAATAATTTGTACACGAATTATTCAAGAGTTATAATAAAGCCTGAATTTGTTTATAATTAACTAACTTATATGTAATGAATTTAATGTGTTTTTAGAAAGAAGAAAACTTATATGTAAATTTTTAATGAATGATTATAAGAATTTTATTTTTTTTCAACAATCGGGTAATTTTATTCGTGAAAAAATAATTTAAACTTAAATTTTTCGATATTAGTAAAATTGTTAATTATTTTTTATGCCACTACCATTAACGTATAATTTAAATTTTAACATCAATATACCGGATAGAGTACACGTTATAAATACACAAGTATATTAATATGCAGGTGGGTACAGATCAAACTCATAATCGATTACGTCTTGTTCCCACCTGCGTCACATGCCTTCTTTATTTATTAATTGTGTATAACTCAATAATTACTCTTCCTAAAATTGTAGCCCTTTATCAAAGTACTAAACACTGGTGATTCCTTATTAAAAAAATAAAATAAAAAGTTTATGCTCGTAAAAAATTTCATTTATAAAAACCTAAAATATAATACACTTAAGGGCTAAACTAAGTATTTTTCTTTTTGTGTTATTTCCCATTTAACTTAAATATTCTTATTATTTGACAGTAAATTGAAAAAATGTTGACTTTAGATTTAGGTACAATAAAATATCTAAACAGTAATTTTTGAAAATAAAAAATAAATTTACTTGAAATTCGCTTTTTTTGTCATCGATTTTAAATCAGTGTGAAAATCTGACAAAGCGGAACACTGTCATTTTAATAGATACGTCTGTATCATAACAATATGATGTGGGAGGGTGATACGGTCGGTTGGGCATTAGCGTAATCCCACGGGATGGATTGCAATGTAAGTTAAACGTTGTGCCGCCTGTTGTGTACAACGCCAGTGGCCTCTTGTTCACGGTCACTTGTTGGGGCGTTTTGGCGGTGACGACGACGCGACTGCCGTCAACAGTTTCGCTTATTCCACCCACCTAATATTAATCACAGAAAGTTATTTCTAGTGGTGACACGAATATGGCCTGTACCATTTCAAAAGGAAAAAACATTTTCATTCAATTTTATAGGTTATTTTTAATTAAGAGAAAAACGATTTATTCATTTCATGTTTTCAAAAATGTTAAATGTCACTATGAAGTTATTTATTTCAAAATCCATAATTACTATTTGCATATCATTTGAAGTTATAATAAAGAGTATCAAATGATTTAAAAAGTAAATATAAAATATATGTGCAATTCAAAGAAAAAAAAACGGTAGCACAGTGGGGTCGAGGCACAGTATAGACGTGGCATAGATGAGATAAGTATAGNATATACAAAAATCGTTTATTAGGTATACTCTTTTTTATACTAATTACACATTTTTTACACTAGTAAGCTACATATTTGTTGTATAGTTAGAAATTATTTTAAACGTGCAAAAAAGTAAAGTGTTATAGTTAAAAAATTAATTAATGTCATGTAAATTATAATGGTATTAAGTTATAATTTTAAAATAATATAATCAAAATATTTGTATTTAGAAAAACATTGATCTCATTCATTGCAATTTTAAGTGTATATGTTAAAGAAAAGTATAAAAGAAATTCAAGTGTATCAGAAAATTTTAACTTTGTCTACGTTTTAAAAAAATTAATTCCTTAAACATTTTAATGTTAATTTATTAATTTTCCATAAAAATATCAAAGTCTACTAAATTATTTTTCAAGTGATTTAAACCAATATATTTTTGAAAGCTTATTGATTAACACTTTAATATTTTACGTAAGTGGTCAAATAAAATTCAATTTTCTAAACGAATAATTAAAATAGTTAAAATACGATTTGATTAACTTTTTATTTTATTGTTAAAATAATGAAATATTATAATTCATATTATATGAGCTTTAATACATTAGCTTACAAGTTTTAATATCAGTGATTAAAAATTAAAAAATAAATAAATTAGAATAGTATACATTCATTAATTTTAGATAAACAGTTATTTGTTTTAGACCAATATATTAAAGTTAGTCAATAGCCACAAAAAAATCTGATACCTTAATAGATAATTAAGATTGGGTTTCATAAAATATTTTTACGCCTCCGGCTTTTACGATTGAATGCTTTTGCAAAGGTGACGAAACTCTGTAGCCTCAGGGATTACATCTTTTTGTACTCCACTAACTGTTGTTTTACTAACAGTCCTTTGATGTAAGTCTAATCAAAACTCTTTGAACTGTAAAGCTTGTGGTCTTTGAAGGTGGTTGGATAACAATATATTATAATAGAATTACACCAGTTGTCAATTTATTTTCGTTCTAAAGAATTCCTACGAGGGTAAAAATGTAGTAAAATTATCGTATTTCATAGTATACTTAACTCTAAGTTATTATTATGGAAAATTTAAAATTATTTCATTGTATTATTATAATATTTCATTTTAGAAAATTATTTGTCAAACTAAATTCAGTCCATTTTGTTATAGATAAATAAGTCAAAGTGTAAATATCTTTCCACTAGTATTATATTTTGCATTTTTGAAAAAATACTAATTGTGTTACAAACAATTGTAAGTAAATATTATTTGACTGTCTGTACTAAAAGATTTGGTCAACGTTCAAATGCTTGCACAAGATGAAGAGTGATTATATATATAAAAAAGACTTTTTCACCCCTAAAAAATAGTTGATTGGTATATGAGGCATTGAAAAATGGTCTGTGATCAAATGCCTCCCTTTATGATTGTCAATTTTCTTGAACAACGTGACAATCATAACTTTTGCTTGTACAGATTTTTTTCGAGCATTACTTGATTTAACATGATAATAAGTTCAGTGGTATAAATAATAACAAGTATTTTAATGTATTTAATCTAAGGGAATCTACTTTTAAAGACTTGCATGTATAATTTTATTTTTAGTAAGAATAATTAATAATAATTCTTACTTTTGATAATATAGTGAAAATATTTATTTATCAACTTATAAATAAACTAATTTCAGCTTTTAAATAAATTAATAGTGCACTTCTTTCTATAGATTTTTAATAATAAATTAAGTCTTAACATACCTTGAGATTGTCCTGAAGAATGTGTATTCCATGATCCTTTATAATGGGTATCTAAAAATAAAACAATCTCGAATTAGTATTAATACTATCAGCTCAAAATTAATTAAAATTGATTTTATTTTTGCCTCAATCTTAACTTGATAATATTTTATATACAAAAAAAATAATTAACACATCTAAGTTTAAAAATTAAAACAGCCGAGATCTAGCTGACATATTACACAATGCAGGAACTTAATATAAATAATAATAATCACAACATTGTGATATAAATTCAATTAATGTAAATGCTCATTTTGAGTTTCAAAATTATGGCGCTGATAACATCAACTAGATATTTGTAATATTTTAACGAATTGTTGAGCGAAATCAATCCGATCCAATAGGACTGAAGTATTTTTATAAACAGAAAAAAATATAACTTAGTAAAACCTATACCTTTTTAATTTCGGATCGAAATTAAAATAAGTGTGATTGAGTAATAATTAAAACGACATTATCTATACCTAAACTCTATTTTAAAATGTTAATAACTTCCGAAATAAAGTTCAAAAGTTGTTATCCACCCGTTATCTCATTACTAAGATCTTTTTCTAATTTTTGATATAGTTCAATATAATAAATGTGTTATTTAAAAAAGTTAAGTTGTTATCCTTATCAAGTCGATTATTATTATTGACTGGGAAGGGGGTTTTATGGCTCAGTTCGGTTGTCTATTTCACTATTTATGACACTTTGTGTTTTAATTGATCGTTACTTTATATCATTACAATATAAATAATTTTAATAGTCAGCTTTTAAATATTAAACCATTTTCTTATGAGTTTATTCAATAGCAATTGTAGGTCCAATATTATATATTTTTTGTAAACATTGACCACACTGAATACAACTTGGAAGTTTCATTTTTGACAATACGTCTTAATGAATATTAATACTATTATATTGTTTTGTATATCTATGGTCGGAATCCTTCATGGCAAAAAAGACGCCTATAGAAACTGAAGTCTGACAGTGATTAACATCATTATCATAAAACATTCCATGCAAATTAATTGAAGATTATTTAGAAAGATTTTTTTTTTTCGAAAGAAGATATTTTTTAACAGAACTAGAGTATAAACTACTAATTATGCATGTAATGTATGCACTAATTCGTAAAGAATTTTTATCACAAAAAAGTAATTCATACTTAAATAACCAATTTATCAACAAAGATAAACATTCGAACGTTCATAGTAATACGGCGCTATTTGGGTACCAGTGCCAAATGTCCATTAACAGTTACACAATGGACCTGAGTACTGAGGGTTTCTAATAAGTTTAAATTCCCTTAGAAAAACTACCAAGGATCGTGATAATTAAAATATAACGCAATAATATAAAATACATGTTATCATATAATAATACATGACCTGTGGATACGTGAGATGTAGAGAATGTTCATTAGACTATCCGCTGTAAATATTATAAGAGTTATAATTAATAGAATTAGAAATATAGTAAGTTGATATAATATTATATAGAAGTTACATATTTGTATAGTAAGTGTTTACTGTTTGTCGCACTAATCTTCCCTAAAGGCATTTTGTAAAAATGTAAATATTTGCTATGTCAGTAGGTCTTAGAAAATTACATATAAATACGCGCAAATGCTGACCCAACTGTAAGGTGTTATTAGCCGAACTAAGATACGTGTACACAATGTAACAATTTCAGTAGATTTGTTTAAGTATCTTTATTTTTAATCATGAAAAATTCATTTTAAAATATTAATTTTAACTATAGTTAAAAAAAAATAAATGTTTCAATCACTTTCAAATCATCACTTCAAACTTTTAAATTGCACATAAAAATCAAAACTTATTGTTTCAATGGTTATAATTTTTGAAATATTTTTGTTAGTATGAAAAAAAATTAAGATAATTTTTTCAAACCGATATAATTTGGATTTTTTTAATGTATAAATTAGGTGGTTATGATGTTTAATTTACAATGCTGTATAAAGAAAATAAATACACATCATAGTAAAATTATTACCTTCTCAGTTGCACTTTGAAGCTTAAGAATAATATTACGTCTTAGATTAAAAAGACTCAATCAAAATCCTCATGACTTTATTAATAAATAATTCATTGTAATTTTAATAAGATGTTTATTAAATCTAATTTGTAATAAAAATTAGATTATATTAAATTATGTTTTAAGTGCTTATTGCGATTAATAATCTAAAATTCAGTGACGTACCAGCAAAAATCATTGATAAATTCGTAAAGGTTCCATTTCGACTTAGATAATCAGAAGTTTTGATGTCCAACATGTTTTTATTTATTTTTTTATTTGTTCACCTGACTGGCGATGAATATTGAATTATTCTGTTTATAATCACGTTTTTCCATTTTATGTTTAAATCTAATTTTAGGATTTAAAACACAAAGACGTACCTAATATTAAAATACTTGCACTTTGAGTTGTTATTTTTTTTTTAATCGATTATCAATAAAGATTATTTGTCCGGATTACAATTTTCACGCGACAGACGCGTTTATACAACACTTGCACTCTGTCGCGATGCTTGCAACCACAATCGAGCGTTGGTTTTGCAAAGGTGACGAACAAGAGGGGCGCGGCGTTGAGAAAATCGATGTCGACCAATCGGGCACCGGCTTCCAAGACAAATCACTCCCTTCGAGTACTTCCGGATTGGTCGTATAGGATATTATGATGAGGAATATACCCGGGGTATGAGTGGGGGAGTGAAGAAAACGTACGTGCCGTGTTTGCAAGTCCAGCATTTTACTTTAGTCCAAAACCGTTATCAGCTTCTACCCTCTAGATATCGTTTGGTGCCCGTGTCGGCTAATAACCGAGTACGTTCAGGCATTCTTTCCTTCCTTCTTTCCTTCCTTCCTTCCTTCCTTCCTTCCTTCCTTCCTCCTGACATTTATTCTATCGACTTTCCCATTAAGGTATGTTGTTTCCTTTTAAATACCTATTCATAAATTATAGTCGCATTCAGAAAATTTCATTAGTTTTGTATTGGTATTTTTACTTTATTTTTGGAATTATTAAGTATTTTTTATTATCTTAGTAATCAATAATAATAATTCTCGATTAGTTTTTAAAAGAAAATGTTTAAAATTTACCTTTTTAAATTTGTGCATAATATTTAAGTAAAATCTGGCGAATCTTTATAAAATATCAGTATTAATATTGATTTTTGGCTTTGATGCAAAGCTGAGAAAGTATTAATTTAAACATGATGTTTTTTTTTGTGTCTGTTTATACAAATTCTTAGCAAATCAGATTTTTCTGTTGTATACTTTAAAAGAAACCCAAATTTTTCATTTTAAACTTAATGTCTTCAAAAATTGTAAAATAAAAGAACTCTAATTTTATATCTTTTTAAAAATAGACAAATTGTAATTAAATTTATATAAATAGCACAAGAATCACTGAGATTTCTTTTGATATAATTTTATGTAAATCTAATTTAAAATCTAAGTAAGAAGAGGGTTTGAACCCAATCACTCACGCATTCATAATGTTTCTTCTTTTGAATTTTTAAAAAAGTTTTACCACGTCCAACAACTTTCAACCTGTATCATATTGGTAAAAATTTAAAATTAAAAGAATTGTAAAGCACTACTAGAAATTTTATTTATCCATATTATGGATAAAAATAATAATGTTTGGTGATACTAAGAATCAAAATTGAGCCCATTTAAAAGACTATACAGGTTAAATAAGTTGTTGAGTTTTTCATTGGTTACCAATGAAAATTTTAAATTTCCGTAAGAATAAGTAAGATATTGTAAGAGTAAGCGAAAGTTGAAAGCTTATCATTTGAGTTTTGTATGAAGTAAAAACAACATTATCATAGTGAATAAAATCACAATTAAAGATTATGTTTAATTATTATTTAATTAATAACATATGATTATGTTATTAATTTTATGCATAACTTAAATATGATTTTCTTTATTATAGAATAAAAGGGCATAAAACAGATAAATATGCCTTTAGGATAGCACATCTGCAGAAAAAAAATATCTACTGAAGCAAGAATTATGGTGTTCGCTTAGAGGCTTGGAATTGTAACAACTGGTATGAATAATGTTAAAGAGAATCAATAGTGAAAGGGAAAATAATAGAGCCTTTTATTTTCTTGTATTGGGGTTCGTGATTTTATTCCAAGCCATTTGAGTTCTTAGTACTACTATATTTCTTCAAGGGGTTGGCATCAGACATCATGGTGCTAATTTTATATTCTTCTGTATATTTTTACTTTGAATAAATCCATCCTAAAAGCTTTTATTTAAAAGTATTTATTTATTATATTTAGGCACTTTCACATCATCGAAAGCAATTGTTAAATTATAAGTCTACGAAATATTTAGCTTTTATTATTACAAGGGATTTATAAAATTTTACCATCGTATACCACACACTCAGATTCAGGTATTACAATCAATATCCTCTCTATGAAAAGAAAATATTTTTCTAAAATTTGGTTAATTTTTTTTTTTATTGTGTTATTATTTAAAGAAATATGTCACAAATTTTTTATATGATGTGATACATAAACCAATTTTATTTATCCAATTATCTATGTATTGTTGATTTCAGGATGAGAATGAGAGTCAACAGTGCAGCCGGTGCATGTTGTAGGGAAAATAATGAAAAAAAATATATGTTTCGTGGCGTTATCTGTATATTCAATAGATTGGGGGTGTGTGACACCGTGTGAAAATTGGTGAACGGATACACTCGTTGTTGGTCGGCTAAGTGGCTATACACGTGAACCAGTAAATATATCGTTTATTATTATACACATATATATTGTCGACCTGCACAATATGTTTTCACCCTACACTGCTCCCCCCTGAACTATATTACCCTCGACGGCGCGTGCGTCTCATAAAAACCGATTGTGTTAATATTATAATGTGTGTATACTTATTTATAGAACTCAACAGAGTGGGTGGCCACTAACAATCAAAAATCATAGAATTCTGATTTATATTTTAGGAGTGTCATAAGTCTTTGTT